TGTAAACTTATATCTGTCTTTCTCTATTGTATTAAATGATCTCAATTCTTTTTTTTTTTTCAGAAAAAAAGTTCCATTAATAACTCATTATCTGGTACGATTTATGAAGATTCGAAGAAACGAAACTTATGCTCAAGATATCACATGTATCCCGTTCGCCGCATTGAAAAAGTTATTGAAGGGTAAAAATTATTTTTGTTGTATGATTTACTCATTTAATTCTCTTGCACATTCAATTCATTATTCTTGGAAGTTAGTTTTTTTTTTTTTTTCTTTACCATTTTAGTAAAAACAAATGGAATACGGGGAAATTATAAGCTACAAAATTTACTAATTGATGAAAAATTAATCAATTAGAGGGAGTGTGATGAGATGAGAAATGGTAAATAAGGAGGGAGTTGATTTGAGAGCTTTAAAAAGAAGATAAACAAACAAAAATATGAGGAAATTGAAGTGGTTGCATGTTGAAAATCTCTTGTTTGGTGGGAAACAAACATCATTGAAAGATAGAGATCATTAGCAATTTTAGGGTACTGAGGTTTTCTGCAGTCAAAAAGAGTCATTGATTGAACCATGGCTAAAAATGGCAGATGAAGTCATAAACCCACAAAAAAAAAAAAAAAAAGTAAGACTTGTGTGTGTGTTTTACTGGTCTGGCTTTATATATCAATGCTATATATATATATATATATATATGCTCTTTCCATTTTGCTTATTAGTAAAACAACATATACTTACATACCCGAATGTATCTATATGTGAGAGAGAGAGAGAGAGAGAAGCAAAATAGTGCCATGCACACACATACCCAGATGGTCCCTTTCTTTTTGTAGTGTCCTTTAGACTTTACAGCTGTGGAAAAGAAAAGAGAGATTGAAGAAAAATTACAATAGGGTTTTTGGCCCAAATTAAATTTCAAATTAGTCTTTAATCGATTGATTTATTATGATTAATTTTTTGTTATTCTATCTAATTATTCATTGTGTTTTAAATTGAAATCAATTAGCTCTATATATATATATATATATATATATATATATATATATATATAAGACGTATCCAATAACTTCATGAGAAGAATCGATGATCTCATTTTTATAATTATAATTCCCAAGTACTAAAAATTGTATTTTTAGAACTTCATGATTTGTCATAACTTACAACTTACTTCAACACACTCTTAATGAATTCTTCATGCTATTTTCTTCACACACAAAAAAAAAAAAAAAATAATAATAATAAATGTAAACACTAATGTTCAATTATCTAAAAAATTAAAAGTAGTACCACGATGACCGATTTAGAGATGAATGCAAAGAATGTTTCATATATTCATGTTGAGTTTAGTAAGTTAAACATATCCTATATATATATATATATATATTGAGTTTAGCGAGTTAAGCAATCAATACATGTATGGTCGTTCTTATAAATATAAAAGATCCGACATTTCAGTCAATATTAAAGAGAATTCTAATTTGGGTTTCCATAATCGTCGTCAGACATTATATTTTTTATAAAAAAAAAAATTAAACACGAAATATACTATAAAAGAAAAAAAGATTAAATTTAAAATACGTTCTAATTTATAAATATAAAGTACATTCTATAATCTTAATAACCTTATCTTATTATGTAAGAGAATTAAGGAAAGTAGAGACCCAAGTCAAAAGATTAATCCATGATCATATTATTCTACAATAATTGATGTAGGGACACAAACTGACCTTCATGATCTTTTGGTTCTTGGGAGCAAGCTGTTTCCATTTCTTATATATATATATATATATATATATAAATTCATATCTCTCTTGTTCATCATCATCATTGATGATCACGAGTAGCCTTACTATACCATTGCCACGAATGCTTACAATCTATACTTACACCAACTCTGTCTATAAATTTTCAAAAAAGTAAATAAATAAATAAGGACCAAACACTACAATCTCCCACAACAACAAAGATTTTTTTGTCTCCCAAATTGAAAATTACCTTCCCCCCATTTCTCCCTCCTTTTACCTTTTTATGGGGTCCTATTTGAGTGCTCCACTAAACAACAAAAACTAATTAATTAATTAAATTCAAAGTTCTTGAAATCTAAATGCTAAATTCTCTTCGTTTTCTTCAAATTTTTAAATTAATTTCCATTTGTTCTTTTCCTTTTGCTTGTAGATTTATATTAAAGCTAAATTAATTTGGTTTAAATATATTATTTGAATTTGTACGTGACCTAAATAATTTAGTACGTAGATACTTAAACGATAGAATGAAATTTACTTTGCAATCGTATCATAATTGACTAGTAAATCTCTGTCATTATAAATTTAGAGTAGTATAATTTTTTATCCAACAAAGGGAACAAAGTGTGAGGTGCTTGGATTTTAATTCAATATATAACCAATAGAAATAAAGAAAGGAACTATATTTTATATAAATGTATGTATACGTATAATTTATATATGTATATGTAGCATTACACGTGAAAAAAGCAAGAGAATTCTTAGCTTGAGAAAAGAAGAAAAGGGGAAAAAAAAAAAAAGAATTATACTCCACTCCATTGAAGCACGAATGCTTTTTATTAAGAATCCACTATGATGCGCATAATGAATCTTGGCGGCGCATTTTAGCCAAAAGATGACCATAGATGAATATCAACACTCACATATATATATATATATATGTATATGTATATATAAGTGTTGATATATATATATATATATATATGTTTGTGGGTATGTGTTCTTTGCAATTTGGATCCAACTTTTGGGTATTTCAACGTGGAAAAGATTTCCCAATTTACTCTAATTGCATTATGATCTATAGAAAAGGAATAAAGGAAAAGACTATTGAAAACAAAAAGCTAAACAAAAGAAAAATTCCCATTTGTTTTATAGTCCAAGAAATCCTTACACTAATATGTATACATATATATATATATATATATTATATTTAATTTAGTCATCTTTTATATAAAAAAAAACCCGATTCGAATAAAAAATTTAATTTTTTATATAAATAATACGTGTCTACATATGTAGTTAAAATATAATTTATGAATTATTTGAGTTATTGTTATTTCGAATTAATTTCTTGATAATAAAATTTTAATTCCAATTTAGAAAGCAAAAAAAAAAGTAAATTTATATCGTGGTTGCCATTTATGATTTCTTGATATGATCAAGAACTAATTTTTAGGGTTTACAAGAAATTATAAGCATGTTATGACATAAATGATTCTACATGAATCCATTATTAAGCTAAATGTTGCTCAATAAAAGACCTATTTTGCCATCACCAAATAATAATTCATGCCTACAACTATATTTGTTCTCAAATTATTGGAACCTACATATATGAGTTGTAGTTACATATACTACATATAATAATTTCATGCCATAAATTATATATAGTACCTATAGGTAGTACAATACCCTTATGGATATGGTACAATTGTTATTGTAATGTTTCTAATTAAAACAATATAATATATATATATATGTATATATATTATGTGACACAACTTTTGTCACCCAAAGTTTAGTAAAATTATTTGCTAAAGTCAATTATTAGATTAGTTTTCAAAGTTTGGTACTCATTATATTTTGGTATTTAATATTTTTTAATTTCTTTTTATTTTTTGACAAATAAAATTGAACTAGTTAGAGTATTTAATAAAATTTAAAATATGGTTCGAATAAATAATATTTAATAATTAATTAAATTATTATTTAACTAAATTATTTAAATATAACTATTATATATATTACTACATTAAATAAATAAATAATTATTATTATACTTAAATAAATGTATAACTCTTATTTGTATTATTATAGTAGTTTTACTTTTATATGATAAAAATAAATAAATAATTGTTATATATTATTGTATTATATTATATAATATTTTTTAAAAATAGAGAATTGACACCTATATTTCCTTATATATATATATATGTATGTATTGACTATGACATATTTGAGTAGCAAAAAGACAAGTTAATAAATTATATGATTATGAATAATCTACATATATGTAAGTAGTCAATACCACTTAATTTTAGAAAGTCTAGAATTATGATCATACCAATTAAATTACCCACCAAACTTATAATTTTTTATTACTAAATCTAATTAAAATACAATTAATTAATATGAAATTAAGCCAAACACCTTCCAAAATTAAATTTCAATTAAAGTTAATCCTAGTCCAAAATAAGTTATACTTAAAAATTTTAATAATGAAGAATAGACTTCTATACTTATATAGTACAACCTGCCTTGCCTATATGTATATGCCATTGTCTCCTTTCCTATACACCATGACCTATTGACTTGCTACCTAATTAATTAATTAATTTTAAAATTAATTTTAAAATCTCAAATATGGGTATTTATATAAATATATTTTTACTTTTATATATATATATTTTTTTTTTTAAAAATTGTAATTAATTATTAATTTCGTTTATTTAATCACACAATTCTCACAATTACAAAAAAAAAAACCCATAATCAAATAAATTTAATATTATTCATAATAATTAACAAAAACTTCAATATATTAAAAAAAAATTAATAATAAAAGCATGTCAAAATATATATATATATATATATATTTAGGTTGGAATTGGGGGAGGATTAAGGTCACCTCAAGAAAAGTGAGAGATGGGTTCATGTAACGAGGTCAAAACATGAGGGAAAAGAAAGAAAAAATTTTCCTTTGAACCAAACAGCACTCAAACCCAGAAAATAATATATAATAAAATCCAACAACTGGCCGGCCGACAACTTGTTTAATCAAATTTTCCCTGCCATTTTCAAACCAATTTTTTTTTTTTTTCTCCCTAACCAAACACTTTTAATTAATTAATTAATTAATTGATTTAGATTTTTCTTTCTCATTTTTTGAGAATTGGATCTCATGGAAGGGAACAGAGAGTCATTATAATAGTATAATAATATAGAATAATGAATAAAACAAAAATGTTGGTTGAATTTATTAAACAAATATTAAAATATTATTAATAAATATATATATATATGTTCCATATTAAAAAGTATTTGCCCTGAAAAGACCAAACTTCAAATAGAAAAACAGAGAAAAGAGAAGAAAACCCAGAACAGAGGGGGCGTACAATTCTTAAATGCTCTTCTTCTCTTGTCTCTTGACATAGTGAAATTCCACTCCTACCCCTTTCAGATCGCTACACCAAGTTGCCCTATCCGAGGGTATTATTGGAATTTCACACGTCTGGTCTACCATCTAAGGACTAACAATGTCGACAAAGGCTCGTTTGGCAACCATTTCTTGGGCTCTGTTCTTCTTAAAACGAGGCTCTGTTTCTGAACACTCCACTGCCCAAGAATCGTTTGAACTGTCACTGTTAAACGCCAAATCAATCACGCCACTAGGGCTGCTAGGCTCGGTTTCTGCATCTTCCTCCCTCGTCCGCTTTCGCTTGTATCCGCCATTGACGTGGGTCCTCGAGAGCTCGAGGATCAGATTGTAGCACTCATTAACCTTCTCCTGTTTCAATGGGTAGTTTGATTATTAGTTAATGATTAAGTTCTAATGGAGTTTTTAATGGACGTAATGATTGTTCTGGTGACAAACCTGGTTTATTTTAAGAACACCCAGAAGCTGGTTTTTGTAATCAATGGAGTTAAAGGGCTCCACTTGGTCTATAACATGCATCATTGTAGCAGTAGCTAGTACAGATGGAAGATAACTAACGAATCTTGAATCTGCAGACAAAATTAACAGATGCCCATCAAGAAAAATGATGAGAAAACAAATGGGTAATCGTTAGATATGGTCAATGTTCTTTTGTTTTTTACTATCATTATTAATTACGTTCTGCAAAAATGGCGGACACTGGGGTTGGATGAGCTTGTTTATTAACACTTACGGAAGACTAGAGAGAGAAGAAGACGCTCAGATCTTCTGAGAAATTCCCAATGGAGATTTGTCTTTAAGCCGAGTCTTCTCATAATGTGATCAAGAAAGGAAAGTGGAGTTACAGGGTGCATTTTCCATTGGAGTGAAGACAAGACCAAAAGCTCCATTCTTTGAATGGTTTTAGCCTCGAAAATATACCTGGTCTCCTCCACCTGTAAACAAAACAAAATCCATGTCTGTAAACTTTCACGAAATATGGAACTGAAAAGTTATATATTCATGATTAAAAAATGGACGTACTTGAAGGTCTAAGAGAAGGGGGACTTGGGTTTCTTCAACTTTTGCAGCTAAAGAAAGACAAGTCACTGCAACAAGCTGAATCATCCATGGCTTCTCTCGTTGGAAATGGAGAGTACGGAGGAACCTATCGAGATAGTTAATGGCGAGAATAGCAGTGAGAGTGGTGAACCCATAATGGGAAATGACCTTCATTATCCAATCCACAGCTTCTCTACGAACCACATCTAGAAAATCATTTTTTTCGACATTGATAAAACTGAAACGACTCTGTTGTTCTTCTTCTTTTGAGAATAGAGAGAGGAGCTCTTCGTCTTCCCAGAACAAATCCTGTTCGAGCAAGAAAAGCTGAGAGCCTGGGAAGCTCTGGAAAGCTTCTTCAGCAGCTTCTTCAACTTCTTCCCATCTTTCTTCCAGGCAATACAGATGGTCTAGCAGAGAGGGAGGAGTACTACTCTGTATCGCCATTGTTATCTTCTTGGAAGAAGAAGAAAGTCCAGTTCAGTTGAGATTGGTTTCAGTAGCGTTCATTTTCACAAAAGAGAAGGTGAAATGAAGAGAGGTTGATAACCATATTTCTCTGCATAGAGAAGCAGGTAAGGAGGAAGAAGGAGGAAGAAAGAAAGGCGAAAGCGTATATATGGAGAGAAGAAAAAGAAAAGAGAGGTTGATTTTTATGACAGTGGGTTTCACTTTGTGTCCTTTTTATTTATTACTATATAAAGTTTTAATTTTTATTTTTGGGTATTTTATAAATTTTATGGTTATATATATATATATATATGTATATGTATTATGAAAATAATTAGTATATGAATTTATTAAAAAATATCATGAGTTTTTCGATTATTAATTTATAAAATAATTAAGGACCTTCTTAAATAGTAAAGAAAATTTTGAGTTTCATTTCTATTAATTCTAAAAAGCAAAATATAAAGTTAAAAAAATTGACTATATATAAATAATATAATTGAGTGGATGATAATACTTTGTTCTAATTTCCCCACATATTCAAGATCTTCTTTTAAGTTTATCACCATTTATATTATTTTTTTAAAAAAAATTAAGGTTAATATTTTTATACATCATTTAAAAATATATATATTATATCTTAGAATTTAAAAAACTTATGACCTAATCAAATATATATAAATCGATACTAAATACGACTTACGATACTTACGAGCATTGCAAATACATCGCGTACTATTAATAAAAAATATATTAAATATAGGGTTGTTAACTTGTAAGACAACCTTAAATCAAAATTTGTTTAAAATGTATCAATTTTTTCAAATCTTCAGTCAAATGTTTACCTAATTCATTCTTATATACATGTTTATTCCGAACTAATCCTCACTTTTTTAAATTGTAACGATTTCAGAAATTTCAAATAAAATAAATTATAAAATTTAGTGTGGAAGCGATATAAATAGTTAAAGTTTACATTTCTTACACAATAACTGAAAGTATTAAATAGGACTTACGGGAATAATTATTTTAAAAGAATAATTAATAACCAAAAAAATAAATTAAAACTAAACAACTGAACGTCCTATTCGCAATTCTCTTGTAGATCGGGCTCTAAATCTTGGTCCTCTTGATCTGAAATGGTTAATGAAAGAATGAGCTATACTAACCTAGTAAAAATACCTCGTTACTCACCGACACATAAATGAAGATTGATAGAAATCATAAAAATAACTAATTGAGATTTTAATTAAGAAAAATCATTTATCATAAATAAAATTATTTACCGTAATGAAATTTACAAAAACAATCTATAGAGGTAATGACATAGCACATACTATAATTTCATATGCAATCGGTTGAAACAACAATTTTCTCTTTTATCAGCCTACTGGTATCCATTAGAATTCATAAGGATGTCCCCACATGTAACGCCCGGGAATTGGAAGAGGAGAAAAAAAAAAAAAGGGGGGGGGGGGGGGGCACATCAGCAGACCCAGTCAGCAGTCCCGGCCAACCAGGACATGCCACGTGGCAAAACCACGTCGACCGGGGACGGGCCACGTTGGCGATCCGCGTACGCGCGATCGGACGGCCCAGATCAAGTGTGTACGGACGACCCAGATGCAATCGCACGGACGGCCCAGATTTAATCAAAAAACGGACGACCCAGATTAAAACAAAATGGACGGCTAAGATCAAAAGGCAAAAGGGTATAAATAGAACCCCCACACCAGACCACAAAAACCCTAGCCGCCTGCCCTCGCCGGAGAAGACGAACCAGACGCCGGAGACGCTGGCCGCCGCCACCCGCCGCCGCACCGGAGAGATTTCCGACCGCCGATCGAGGTAAATTTCATACCCCCGACTCGTTTTTCCACGCTGATTTCCCCTGTGGCCAAATCGGAGCTAAAATCCCGGCCAAACGGCCGAAAAACACGGCCGAAACCCAGCAGCGCCGCCGCGCCCCTTCTTGGTTTTTGCCTCCGATGAGGCCCTTCCTGGCCTCCGTTTGATGCAATTTTTATATCACCGTGATCACCATTCTTTTCTCTACAGGTTGATCGGAGCCGAATCACCAAAACACGAACTTCACCGGAGAGCCGCCGCACCCGAGAGCACTGTCGCCGGTAAGCTTCGATTTTTCATAATTTTTTGGCCCCCCGAGGGCCCTAGGGTTGTTTTATCGCAAGGATCGATGCAAGTGTGGCCGAATTCGGCCAGAAACGGCCCAAAACGGCCAAACCGAGGCGAATCGCCGCCGTGCCGGAATTGCGATATTGGCCAAAAAGGGGCCCTGGGCCTAATTTGGGATTTTTTGGAACACGTGCAGGTACTCGTAGTGCGTTTCAGTTCCCCGGAAAAAATTCAGGAAAAATTAGGGACAGCCTATAGGCGCACTGTGAAGCCATGTTCGGACCCCGAAACGAGTAAGGACCCTTCACCCTATTTCCTATCACGGTATTAAAGTTCAATAAATGATAAAACGGTATTTCATGAATCAACGAATGTGTAAAATTGCTTAAGGTCGCTAATGGAGCCCGAGTCTAGTGTTTTTGTCGGTTAACTGTTATTTGGCCGTTTTACAGTTTTAAATGCAGTATGAGGTTTGATGTTTTCATTTTATAGTTTCGTGTGCATATTTTACTGTTTTACTGATTATGGATTGAATGACTAGGATATTGATGCTGTATGTTGTCTATTTGGCATAAATTACCGTTTTGCTTGTTTGTATGTGGATTGATAATGCTGACTGAGGGAAAAGAGAATGAAAAATTATGTAAATGGGTAATTGTATAATGTGGTCAGCCTGACTAGATATCCTGGGAGATGGTGGACGGACCGGGTCCGTAGGAAACCCTACCGGGATTGTGGTCTCCCATACCGGACGGGGTATGGAGATCTTATGTGTTTTGGCGCCCATACCGGACGGGGTATGGGGACGGCCCGTTTCACCCTCATACCGGACGGGGTAATGAGGTTTATAGTTTTGGCGCCCATACCGGACGGGGTATGGGGGCGGTCCTGGAATCTGATTTCAAGTGTTAAGGGTTAACGGGTAGCAGGACCCCTATGGATCCCCATGGATACTAGTGGGCTGGTAAATGAGGAAAATATGTTGTGTAACGATTGAATTACAAAAGGCTTGATAAGTATTATGTTATACAGTTCATATATGATTTCATGATGATGATAATGTTATTGCTTTCGTATACTGTTTTATGAATTTCACCGAGGTAAGTGGATGGTGAATGATTTATTATTGATAAAAGAATTTGTTGTAAATTATGCTCCATTGGTCTTTTTGTATTTTCTACCCACCTTTACCTCTGTGACGGTGAGATATCGTGATGTCTTTACTGGGCTAGTGTAGTTCATTCCTTATTTAATCATTTCAGATCAGGAAGACATTGTTCCCGAGCCGGTTCCGCAGGAGGACGACGAAGGGGACGCCTAAAGACTCCATAGTCATATTCGTAGCTTTTATTTTCAAGTTTCTCCTTTAGGTAGTTTGATCTTTTATATTTTGTGAGCACGTTTTTGGTTTTAGTGTAAGGGATGTTAATCGAATTTTTGACTTCGCTTCTGCATTTGATATTTTTAATATACATTTCATTTTAAATTTCCGGGGCCGTTACACCACAACTCATGAATCATTTCCTTTAATATTTTCAATTAATAGGTCGTTCCCCATACCTCATCCGGTATGAGCACTAAATTACTAAATCTCAATACCCCGTATGGTATGAGGGTGCAATGAGTCGTTCTCATACCACGTCCGGTTTGTATTAATCTTTGTAAAAAAACATGTTAAGGGGTCTCGGTTGGCCCAAAAAAATCGAAAAATCGAAACTCACCGGGTGGTAGGGTTCTCCGATGCGACAGCTCCACCAGCTCACCTTCACAGTTGAGTATTTTGCTTCGATCAACCTATAGAGAAGAAAACGATGATTACAATGGTGGAAGAATTATGCACAACGAGAATTAGAAAAGGTCTCATCGAAGGCATTTTTTGTATTTTCCTACGGCGGCGCCGCTGAGCTTTACCCGCGATTTTTGGCTAATCACCAGTCCTTTTGCTCTGATTTGGACATGGAGGTGTTTAAAATTGAATTTCGAGCAAAAGAAAAAAGTTTTACCTCTTTTGGCAGTCGAAAGTGGTTCCGGCGTGGCAGCAGCGGCGGTCGGCTTCTTTTCCGGCAGCTAGGTCTTCTTCTCCGGCCCGGGGGGTGGTTTGGCAGCGGTTAGGGTTAAAGTTTGGTGTGAAAATGGTTATTTATATCATTCTCCTTTTAATATGGGCATTCATCACGTTTGATCTGAACCGTCCAATCGCGATTAAATAGGAAGTGAATCTAAACTGTTCATCACGATTTAAACTGGACCATCCGATCATGTTTAAATAAAAAATATATCTAAACCGTTCATCGCGTTTAAATATGACCGTCCGATCGCGTCTGGGGAGGGAACGGATCTTAACTATCCGTGCGAGCATGAACGAATCTAGATCGTCCGATTGCGGGCACGTAGATTGTCTGTGTGGCACCGCGTCAGCGTCCCTTGCCACGCGACATGCTCTGGTTCGTCGGGACTGCTGACTGAGTGTCTTACGTGACATAATTTTTTTAAATTACGTTTTGACCGTCAGTTTCTAAATTTTCTTTTAAAAATAACCCCAAAACCTAAATTTTCACCTAATTTTTTCAAAATTATTTTTTATTTCATCCTCTATTTAATTTTTTTCATTTTTACATTAACTAATAATTTAAAAATTAAATTTTATACATTAAATAAAAATTCAAAAACTCAAAATTTTATATTTACACACTAATTTTAAATATTTTTTAAAATTAATTAAGGACATTACATAAATCATTATGTAAAACGAGTACCATATGTTTTATCGTTAATAGTACTAAATGACACTTTGATAATATTGAGTTTCACTATTATTTTCTTCATAATGAAGTGTATAAAATTCGTAAAAAAATCTTTCTTACTTGACTGACGTATCAAAAACTTAAATTCGGATCGTAAAAATCATAAAAGTTAGTAGTCAACATTTCTAGCTTTACGGCTCAAATCGATGATAAACCAAACCTAATCATCTTCCCAATATTACCCTAATATTTATCAAAACTTTGCCTTCATATTTTAGCTACTTTTCTATGTTCTTATCATTCATTTTTCTCCCA